GGAAAGGGGTATTTGATCCACCTCCTCCCATTCTTTGAACTCTTTGTCTTGTTTAGGGTGCCTCTTTTTAGAGCCCTTGACTGCTTGATTGGATTCTTCGTTTTTCTCTTCCTTTTCTTTGGGCATGGGGGTGCGACGGTGACATCACAGGGTCTTCTCTGCACCGATTCAGGCAACGACTGAACACCGCTGATCCCCGCCGAGGGTTCCAGCGCCGTCACTCGGATCGCTTCGTCTATCTGGCTAAGTCGATCTATCTCTTCATTTTCCTCGGAGTCCTCCTCCGTCTCCATTTCTTCCGGCTCAACCAGAGTTACCTTCCTTGCCCTTGTCTTCTTAGGCCCCGGCTCGCTCATTTCCAGGTTAGCTATCACAGCCTTCTTCAGATCGTTGGTATGGACCCTCCTTGCTCGTCCTGCCAGATGGGGATAGAACAATAAAAGAACCGGAATTAAGAAAGTAGATGATAACGATTGACATTGCATTGAAATATTTAAAGATCAAAGTTGACTAGAAAGCAAGAAGCCGGAAGGGACTTCCACAAGCGAAAAGTGCGAGAAAAGAGAAACTGTTACCATAGAACTTACATATAACCATTTTAACTATAAAATGATAGTACCGCTAATCTAATACTGCGCTTAAGTACATAAAGTTTAGGTACCATCGAGGAAAGATCATCATCATCATCATCATCATTATTATTATTATTATTATTATTATTATTATTATTATTTCACTATCATTTTTTCAATATTATTATTATTAATAATAATAATATTACTTCATCATCACCTTTTATTATTATTATTATTTACATTATTTGCATGCGGACTATTCTTCTCTTCATTGTTGTTATTGTCAAAAGGTTTCGGTCGTTGTACCCTCCGGCCTTCATCGAGTGTATGCCATTCATTTCAGGAAATTTGAAACTGAACACTTTATTTAATTTAAGGTTTTAGAGTGTGAATCATTTCACCCCAGTCAAGGCAATTGGACCATTTAGAATCAAGGGGTTACTGAGTACGGGAGAAAATGTGAAAAATACTACTGAAACAATACTAAAAGAACAGGAATTAACAGAAGATGACGATTGACATTGCATTTAAATTTTTAAAGATCAATGTTGACTGGAAAGCAAGAAACCGGAAAAGAGTTCCACAAGCGATAAGTGCGAGAGAAGAAACTGTTAGAATAGAACATCTAGCCATTTTAACTGTAAAATGATGAAAACTTGCCGTAAATTTAGTACTACCCTTAAATATATAAAGTCTAGATAGAGAAAGGTTCATCAATGCAATTATTAATAAAGTATTAATAGAAAAGGCTCAAGGAAACTACATTTCAGTGGTGGTGACCAAGTGTCTCAATGCCAGTTGCCAAGTCAGGAGCAATAACATTGCAGATTATTATTTGGATTGTATCAAGAATATCTAAATACGTAACAAATCAGATGTGGTAGCAATATTCAAAGCATGCACGAATAGTAAACTTATAAAAGTATAATATTGATACTGGCGAGAAAAAAATAACTGGTACGACACAGTGAACGTAGAAATTGATTCAATATAATTATTCACTAGATGGTATTTATCAATCCACCCACGGGGATCGAATGTGGCACAAGGCCTTTTTAATGTGGGTATCTCTGAGCCCGTAGGCCCAGCCAAAAATAAATAACCATCCAAACCCGCCGAGGAGGGCCAGTTCCGTCAACCTCCCCCAACGAAACCCTACCCTTCGGCGGAGCTTCGTCCGGGTTCCTCTCTGCAAGCAGAGGGTTCGACAGACACCCGACCCGGCAGCTCACAAAGCGCAGATACTACACTTTGATCCTAGCCACCGGGCCGAGCATCTATTCACTAGATGTCAGCGGAAAACTTACTTGATCTTCAGTAGATGTGATGAGTTAGTGCTGATGTGAAAACTCAACAAGTAAATACATAACTAGAAGAATAACCACAAGAATAACAAATAGATGTTGGAATTTGCCACAAGGAGAAGTATATACAAATAATATTAATTAGCATGTTCGTTAATGTTCTTTAAACCAATCATTTAACAAAGGAAAACTTAAAACTGGGGTCACTATAACACCCAACGGGATTAAAAAATATAGAAATAAGAAGAGAATTGATCAAATAATGACTGGAGACACTGAAACGCTTGGGTGTGCTTAAAAGGCCGTATTATCCGTAGCAATTGACCGGAAGTTAACCAAGGTAATTATCCGAGAGTCGATGGTAGAATTATCAAATAATCCTGACCTGAAGAGATACTGGAGCGGAGAATGACTTCCCTATTTTCATACATAGTTCGAAATGTCACGAATAGAGAGACGAATATAGGGGGGGGGGGATAAAACGGTCACATTCATAACCCAACTATCTTCTTTCGCCCAGCCCCTAGTTACACTTAGTTTTAATACATAAACACACGCACATCCACATGCAGGAAAGGCAGCAAGCGAAAAGAATCAACAGGTTTTGTTTTGTCCTTTTTCTCATTTTTTTTTTTTTTTTTTTTGCGATAAGTAGTTTTTATCCCTTCCACCTCTTGAGGGTGTGAAACTGAATAGGAAGTAAGAGGACTTAAGAGATAGGAGAGAAACATAAAAGGGACAAAGGAATTGGCCCGATGTACTTACAGAAAGAAAGAAAGAAAGAAAGAAAGAAAGAAAGAAAATTGAAGTGATACAGAAGACTATAAAATACGAACGCTAGTATGAATTACCAAAGACTTTGGTATAGAATTATTATTTTATTATTATTATTATTATTATTCGAAAGAAAGAAAGAAGGAAAGAAAGAAGAGATTCAAGTAATACAGAAGGCTATAACACATGAACGTTAGCATAAGTTACCAAAGGCATCTGAAAAAATTGATTATTATAATGAAAAGAAAGAAAGAAAGAAAGAAAGACATTCAAGTGATACAGAAGACTATAAAATATGAAAGTTAGCATAAATTATCAAAGACTTTTGGACAGAATAATTATTGTAATGAAAAGAAAGAAAGAAAGAAAGAACAGCAACAGAGAAGGACACTTTGAATGTGGTAAACATAAACTTCAACTTTCTGATGACGTTTCAGTATTATAAAATATCTCTTCCATCATTTTGTACTCCCTCTCTATTTAATTACAATCTATAACAGGTGGGCCGGAATTTAGAAGGGTTCTTGATATTAGCTAAGAGCTCCTATGACACTACACCCTATTTGGTTGGAACAAAATGCATAGTGTTTCTTAAGCAAATTTCGAAAACAATATTTAGATATTTGTTTATTGACGTATCTAACCAAATATTTGACATTTGGTTTTACTATTTATATCCTTCTAGATCTCGGCATCTATTTGTGTGATGAACTTTCCAATTAGTTTTCACAGTAAGGAAATTCGTCCTATTAAGAGAATTTTCGTAGAGATCGGAATAAGTGGTAATCCGAAGATGCAAGATGATTTAGAAGGACATCCTAGCCAAGCTGTACAAATTTCCGCCAAATCTGCAAAGAAATGTGAGGTTTAGTGTTGTCCTAATTGAAGACTACATTCTTTAGACTAGCCAATTTCTTGTTTTCTATAGCTTACTGACTTTAATCAGTTCAACTGGGAATACTACCAGTTTGAATTCAACGTCTCAATTTTGCGGAAGGTGTTTGTAATACACAATGCAATTTCAATTCTACCACACGCAGATTACCACATTTTTCGAATGCAGATCGACTTTTTGAGTGACTAAGGGTGGCTCATTTTTTTCCTCAGAACCTATTTCGTTCCACATGTTTCTTTTGTTTGAGTTAAATCTTGCATACAAATGTCTTCATTCACGTATCTAAGTATTTCAAATGTCTTGCCATATGAGACATTCAGAGTAGCTACGGTGTTATGTGACCTGGATAATTCTTCATCAGCGTTTAGATCTGGTCATGATCACCAACTCCAGGCCTACTGGAATGTTGTCGTTCTTTCAAATCAAAATTTCAACTTCTTAAAATGAGCGTAACACATTCAGCTATGGCACCATCTCCACAAACAGCACATTTTTTTTTATATTTGTATAGCGTTTTCCTGATCAAATGTCGAAAATGCATTTCTTCTATTTTCACATTTAACGTAAAAATATTTAAAATTCACAATACACACGCGAATAGCATAGATAGATGTGACCTTTCAATATGTATATGTGTAATAAATTTGACTTACTCATGAAACGAAAACACGTGTTCAAGCACCACATATTGATTAAAAGCTACGACCTATTGTTCCAACTCAAGTTGAGAAAAATATGTAAGATTTCAGGAAAAAAGGAAAAGAACAAAGACAGAAGACAAATAAAAGAGAATATTGTAGAATCAAAACTTTAGCATGAATTACGAATTACTTTTGAACAGAATAATTATTATAACGAGAAGAAAAAAAAGTGGATAAATGAAAGAAAGGAAAAAAAAGAAAGCATTCATATGTTATAAAAACTATAACATATGAAAGTTAGAATGAATTAGCAAAGCAATTTCACCAGAATGATTATAATGAAAAGAAAAAAAACATTTAAAGTAAAATCGTTGAAGAATCATTTAAAAGAAACAAACAAACAAGGGTTCAAAAGAAAATGTTTGAAGAATTATCATAAGGAAAAATTAAGAAAGAAAGAAAGAAAGAAAGAAAGAAAGAAAGAAAGAAAGAAAGAAAGAAAGAAAGAAAGAAATTCAAGTGATACAGAAGACAATAACATATGAACATTAGCATGAATTACCAAAGACTTTTGGACAGAATGATTATTATAATGAAAAGAAAGAAAGAAAGAAAGAAAGAAAGAAAGATATTCAAGTGATACAGAAGACATTAACATATGAACATTAGCATGAATTACCAGAGACTTTTGGACAGAAGGATTATTATAATGAAAAAGAAAGAAAGAAAGAAAGAAAGAAAGAAAGAAAGAAAGAAAGAAAGAAAGAAAGAAAGACATTCAAGTAATGCAGAAGACTATAATACATGGAGGTTAGAATGAATTACCAAAGACATTTGAGAAGAAAGAAAGAAAGAAAGAAAGAAAGAAAGAAAGAAAGAAAGAAAGAAGAGATTCAATGGATGCAGAAATATATAACATACGAAAGTCAGCATTAATTACCAAGAACCTTTGGACGGAATTATTATTACGATGAAGTGAAAGAAAGAAAACATTTAAGTTACACAAAAAGCTATAACATATGAACGTTAATTTGAATTACCAAAGACTTTTGAACGGAATGATTTTTATAATGAAAAGAAAGAAAGAAAGAAAGAAAGAAAGAAAGAAAGAAAGAAAGAAAGAAAGAAAGAAATTCAAGTGATACAGAAGACATTAACATATGAACATTAGCATGAATTACCAGAGACTTTTGGACAGAAGGATTATTATAATGAAAAGAAAGAAAGAAAGAAAGAAAGAAAGAAAGAAAGAAAGAAAGAAAGAAAGAAAGAAAGAATATATTTAAGTGATGCAGAAGATTATAACATATGAATTGAGCATGAATAACGAAAGGCTTTTGGACAGAATGATTATTATAATGAAAAGAAAGAAATAAAGAAACATTTAAAGCAGAATCTTTGAAGAATAATTGAAAAGAAAGAAACAATCAAATAAGTGTTCAAAAGAAAACGTTTGAAGAATTATTAAAAAGAGGGAAAAATGTAAAATGAAAGAAAGAAAGAAAAAGATGAGTAATGAAACCAGAATAAAAAAAAATAATTGTAAAGAAAGAAGCGTATAAAAAGAGATATAGATAGAAAGAATGTTGAATAAACAAATAAACAAGTGTATCAGGCCATACGAATGGATTGACTCCGTCCATTCTCTACTTCTATTTTCTACGTGACACCTGCATCCTCATGCTAAAAACTACCTGTATTTCTATTGTCAGGTGCTCAGTCCTTCTTAACCTAACTTAAGAACTTAGCTTGAGCTATTTATCACTCCTGCCTTTGCACTGGTTACCCTATGCACTGATTTACCTTCACTTCGTCCCACCCGGCAACGGGTGGATAACTTTTTCTTTTTCGCTTTCTTTTATTTCTTACCCAAATTTCTTTTCGCTCAACATTCTCTCTCTCTCTCTCTCTCTCTCTATATATATATATATATATATATATATATATATATTGCTTCCTTTCTATCATACATCTCGCTTCACATTTCATTTCACATAATTCTTAATTCTTCCTGATTTTTTATTTTACTTTTCTTATTTTTTTTAGCTTTCCGTCTTCATTTGTCTTTTGACTTTTTTGCTTATTCTTACTCATTTCATTTTCATTTTCTATTTTACGAATCTTATTTTCTTTATTTCTTTCTTTCTTACTTTCTTTCTGTTTTTCTTTCTGTCTGCCTTTTCTCTCTTTCTGCTTTTTTCTTTTTTTTCCTTTTTCTTTCTTCTCTTTCTTTCGATTATTTTATTATATCCCACTCTTTACCTATCTGCTATTTCCTTTTTACCTATCTATCTATCTATCTATCTATCTATCTATCTATCTATCTATCTATCTATCTATCTATCTATCTATCTATGTCAGTTCATATCTATCTATCTATCTATCTATCTATCTATCTATCTATCTAGCTTATCTCTACCCGTTAAATTTCTATCTCTCTATCTCTCTATATATCTATCTCTGTTCATTTTCTATCTACCTCAGTATATTCATTTTCTATCTCACTATGTTACTTTCTCTCCATCCATCTATCTATCTATCTATCTATCTATCTATCTATCTATCTATCTATCTATCTTCATTTTCTGTCTCTCTCTCCATTCATCTATCTCAGTCTATTCTCAGTCTCTCTCTCTCTCTCTCTCTCTCTCTCTATATATATATATATATATATATATATATATATATATATATATAACTTTCCCTGGAATATTTGTTTCTTCTTTCGCCTCGGTCTCTTCTAATTTAATTCTTCACACTTCCTCTCCTCCCCTCCCCTCTCTCTCTCTTTCTCTCTCTCTCTCTCTCTCTCTCTGACGTATTTTTTCCCAGACTGATATGATAGCCATAGAGTGTTTTTATGTTGTTATTGTCATTGTACTTGTTGTTATTGTTGATGGTTTTTCTTCTTTTGTATTTGTTGAGTCAGTTCAGCTTTGTGCTGCGTGTTGAGTGAGTAGCACCTGCTGTCTTAGGCGTCAGAGAACAAGGGCGGGGTGGTAGTTTGGTGTCATACACTGTCACCACAGCCGGAAAATACGGGCGGAAACTAGAGAGACTAGCGCTGCAAGACGTGGGCACAAAGACACCAATTTAAAAAAATGTTAAAGGGAATCACGTATTTATTAAACATGTACTCGAGTTAATAAGCCAATAATTTATAATGTATTATAATTATAATTTCACGCAAGAAGTATTTAGACGCTTGGAACAAAATGGCTGCAAATTTTAAATTTCCAGAACTCTCCTCAGTATTATTGCTGAATCTCAGCTAACAGATGTAGGTAGCATCCTGTAATCTATTCGCAATTTTCATTTGTTTATTTATTCATCTCTTATTATTATTATTATTATTATTATTATTATTATTATTATTACCTAAATTTCTGCTATGGTCACACTTCCTACCAAGTCTGCGGGAATACCTAAGTCAGGTAGTGGTGTGTTGTTATGGCTACATTTCATAATTTGTTGTTCTAACTCCCATAACATCACTAGCTTTATATGGACAAAGTTCTTCTTAGTGTGTAGTCTGTTCTTATCAAGACATTTTTTTTACATTTCACTTAAGCAGGGTTTTTTCAGTGTGCTGTTGTGTTCTATTTTATCATTCCAAGCACCTACTATGACTAGTATTATTATTGTTTTCAATTTCCAATTTTTCTTTTATTTCAATTTCTACGTCTTTATACTTCGATAGTTTTTCAAATTCCTTGGTTGCTATGTTACAGTCCGCTGGCCAAGCCATATCAATTAGACAAGTTTTTTTTTTTTCTTTTTGGTTTTTGACAATTATGACCGGTATATTTGATTCAGTCTTCCTTTTTATAAAAGTGGTGTAATCTTATAGAATTGTGATGTCTTCTATTTCTGTAACTGGTGCCAATATTTATTAACATCTTTTCCATAGTGTTTAACACAGTGTCTCGTGTAAGTCTTGCCCCACTCTATCGTAACGATTTATATATATTTTATTGATTTTTATATTCATTTGGCGCAATTACAGAACATCCTGAGATTAAATGGTCTATGGTTTCCTGATATTTGTCACAGAACCTGCATTTTGGATCCACACTGTTATGTATGATATTTGCCTGAAAGTTCCTAGTAAAAAGACTGCGAGAATAAAGCCTTCCGTTTCAGCATTTAATCCAAATGCTCGCAACCATCGATGAGTGTTAACTTTTTCTACATCGGCTTTATTAGAACGTTCTGGATATTGTCCATGGAGAGGTTTGTCTTGTCAGCGTTATTTCATCTGTTCAAGAACTTTATCCTTAGCTTTCTTTTTCATATTTTTTGCTGCAACAATTGGTTCTTGGGTTCTGTTTTAGTTTCTACTTACAAACTATCATATTTTTTCTTTTTATTTTCGTGTTGTTTGACTAACTTTGTCATCCAGTCACTTGTTGCTTCCATATATGTTAATAAGCCAACAGATGTTGAAATGTATGACAATTCTAAGTGAATAAGACCTCTTCCACGTTCTTTACGGGGTATATGTAGATGGTCCGCATTAGTCTTTGGATGATGAATGTTATGCATAGAAAGAAGCTTCTCTTAGAATATTATTATTATTATTATTATTATTATTATTATTATTATTATCTTGGTGTCGTACATTGACATAATTAGATGAAATTCCCTTCTTGGGCATGGTGTCAACAAGGCTCCTCAAACCTCAAGCACTTATTGGGGAATCCTCGTAAAGTATTTTTTTAACATTTCTCCCCAAGCAAAACGGGAGTGCCGCTATCACGCAAGAGGTTACAGTGAGTGAGAGTAAAGAGGGGTGTTGGAGGAAAGATTAAAGAGAAAGACGGGGATCAAGATCAAGATGTCCATTGACATTATCATACTTATAAAACCCAGGTTGTGTGTGTGTGTGTGTGTGTACGTTTATGTTTATATATTGGAGCGGATTTTCTACATTTTTTAACCGATTTCAACAAAACTTCACAGGACTACGTAAAATTACCTTGCGGTAGTTCTGACAGCGCCAAAAATTGGAAAAACACAATTGTTTTTGCACGAAATCAATTTGAAAACACGATTAAGAGTCATCGCGTGAATGAAAGGGGGACAACTCATATTGAGTTATACTTATTATAAAACCCAGGTTGTTCGTGTGTCTGTGTTCGTTTATATGTGGCATCGGATTTCCTACATTTTTCAACCGATTTCAACAAAACTTCACTTTTTTTTTGGCAGGTAGTGTTTCTTATTGTCTTGCACACATTTTCTTTATTTTTACATTCAGAAATTCCATTTACAAGACAATTGTTTATAATAAAATTCTATTCAATCGGTAGACTCATAACGATTGAAAACAATGTTTTTGTTTGAGTTTGGGTTTGCCCAATTCGTAAAAAAAAAAAAAAACAACTAATTAAGACCTGCGTGTCCGTCAACCTTAAACAATAATCTTTGTCAATTTTATTTTCAGTCAGCATGGTCGATACTTGATCTATCTCTTACTGTTACATCCCCGGGTAACGCCAGGCTCTACTGCTAGTATTTGAATATTATAGCTATCAGGGAAGCAAGTAAGAGGAAGGTGGTTCCACTGTCGGGAGGTGCGGGGGAAGAAGCTGTTGGGGTAGAAGAAGCGGTCACATTTAAGTGTTTCGACAGTAAAAGGGTTGGACCGCGATGCCAACCTAGTAGCACGCTTAAATTCATGCAGTTGGGGTACCAGTGAAAGTAGCTCGTCAAAGCAGATGCCATTAAAATACTTGTAGAAAAGACAGGGAGAAGCCACATCACGTCTGGGAGAACGTGACTGGAGTCGAGATACCAGGTCAAACCTATCACATTGCATATCCGTTTTTCCTAAGCGCTCTTTTCATTATTATTATTAGTAGTAATAGTAGTAGTAGTAGTATCCTATTATAAGTGTGGTTGTCCCACCTTTCAATAGTTAACACGACCATTACTTCCTGTCAGTATCTCATAAATAAAGGATTATTCTGAGTTTTCATCTCGTTCAAAGAGGGGGAAAGACGTTACTTAGTTTCGGTGTGAAAATGAAAAAAAGAAGAAAGAAATAAAAGAAGATAAAAGTGGGGAAAGAGAATCAGATCAAGTTGATAAGAACAAATACTAAACTTTTATCTCAGCCAAAAGGCCCAGAATCGATGGCGGCCGAGGTAAAATATCGATTGACATAATCGAACGTACCGAACGACGGAAACAGAGTAAGACAATTAACAAAAATCCAGTTACCAAAAATTAAATATAATAACATCGTCTACTGAATTACTTTTATATTATTATTATTATTAATAGAATTGTTCGTAAGACTTGGATTTGGCTTGAAATAAAGAAAGAAAGAAACAAACAAGAGAAAATAAAAGCGTTTAACGTCTCCTGTCAATACCTCATAAATAATGGAGTATTCCGCTTTAGTTGTGTACAAAAACAAGGCATATGATTGAAAGAAAAGAGAAAAAATCAAAGAAAGGGAAGATAAAAGGGTTTAACGACAGTTTCAGTGTAATGGAAAAAGTCTCAAATATTTTCATTACTCCCTTACTTCATATTTATGATTATTATTGCAATATTTCGCTAAAGTTATTAAACTCAAATATTTAACGATGTGATAGGGAAATCTCTACGGACATTTTATTGTCATAGAACTCGT